TGGGGGCAACTTGGACTGGGGGCTCGTTCGTGGCCGCGGCGGCTGGGGCGGCGTTTGGAGTTTGGGGAGCGCGAACGCGGCTCTCCCTGGCGGGCTCCTGCGTGGGTAGGGACTCGCTGCGCTCCCAATTTGGAAAGGCGTGAAATTTGCAGGGGGAGGGGGGCTGATTTTGCTCGTTCTCCCCCCTCGAGGTTAAACTAGCAGAGAGCTTTTTCCCCATCCACATATATATATTTATATATATCTTTTTTTCTTTTTTCTTTTTTCTTTTTTTTTTGAGTGAGCAGTGGGCACACACATAGATATTTTTAAACTTTTTTTAGAACATGCCCCGACGTGCGCGCCCTCCCTAAACCCCCAAACTTCATTTTAGCATCGCCCCGCTGCTGGATGTAGGGATGTGCGATGCGAAGCGCAGCCCTGTCGGGTCCCTCCTTGCCGTGTGGGACCGCGATGTCACGGTAAGGAGCGAGTCCCCGCCGGGGCCAGGGGCAGCCCCGGGTACTCGTCCTGTCCCCGCGAGCTCAAATGCGTCGCCAGGACGGGCAGGAGCGACGCGGGACTGGGAAATAAGCGGCTTCCAGGAGCAGTTGCGGGGGGTCCCGGGATGCGCTCTCGCCTTGTGCCCCTCGCGGCTTCGGCGAGCGCGTCCCCGCTGCAAAGTTGCCCCGCGGCGCTCACCGCGCTCGCGAAGTTATTGTCGCCAGATGATGGGGACCTGTCCGTCAGGCGCCGGGGAAGTCCCCGTTTACTTAGGAAATTGCACGTGTGACAAAGGCGGCCGCCGGAGTGTGGTGGCCGCCGTGAATAGAGGGAGGGCAGGCAATTAGCTGCCGTGTTGTTGGGGCTTTTTACTTGTCACACTGGAGCCTCGTTGCTTTTGTTAGCGCCGTGTAAAGGGAATGCGCCGCGTTTTGTTTTGGTATTAAGGCCCTCCGAGGCTGCGGGCTGACACTTTGCGCGCCGAGGCCGGGGCAGCGGCGCCGGCCGAGCTCGGAAAGCACCTCGAGGCTTCCCCGCTTGCCCCGTTTTCCCTCGTTTCCCCCGGCCCCGGGGTGCCAGCCTCGCCTTTCGTTCCGCTCCGCGTTTGCCTTAGCCCGCAAGCACCTGAAACCGCCGCTTAAACTCACGCCGCTTCTACAAAGCGGAGCCTGGAGCGGCGGGAAACGGAGTTTTGGGGGGGTCTCGTCGTACCAGTCTCGTCCTGTGGGCTCGTCGCGAGGGGGAGGCGCAGGGGGGCGACCCGGGCGCGCCGTCACCCGGGCGCGTGCGGGGGGACCAGTGTCGGCAGCGGCCGGGGGCGGGCTGCTGCGCGGGACGTCGCTGTCCAACTCGTTTAGGATGAGGCTGATGGTGGGGGCAGGCGGACGGGGGATGCTCTTCTAATGACTCCCCCTAAAAGCGGCTTTTTTGTTGCTTTGCTACTTTGCAACTTTTTTTTTTCAGATAAATAAAAGATGAGGGACCGCCGGGTGCGGCATGTGGGGTTTGTGGTGAGGTGCAGGGGGAAGGACCCCCCCCATGGCCGGTCCCCTCCGGGTGTCCCCGCTCCCCATCCTCGGAGGGGAAGCGCAATAGCTGGGGCTGGATAGCGGGAGCCCTCCCTGCCACCCCGCTGCGCCGCCTGCCCCGACAGGCTGCGCGGAAATACAAAATACTGCAAAGGGAAAACGGGAGTGGGCGGGGGGGTGGACAGCAGAGCTCATGGCAAAGGTCTTCCAACTGTCACCTTGGAGTCCTGGCGACAGGAAAACACACTTTCCTCGCAGCTCTCCCCCCAAAAAAGATGTTTTGAGGGACTTGACAGTCTCGCAGGCAAAGCGGCCGTGTCTGCGCTTGGGTGCTCCCGCCCGGCCAGCTGCGTGCCGGCTCCTGGCACCCTTGCACCCTGCCTTGTCCCAGCAGTGTCCCGCGTTTTCGAGGTAACTAGCTGCTTTTTAGCCCTTCTAAGCAGATATACTTGCCTGGGGCGGGGGGGTGGGAGAAGTCGTCTCCCCGCGCCCTGCACGGGTGGTAAAGTGAGACACGAGGAAGCGAGCGGGCTCCTCTAAATTTCGATAACCGCAGCAGACAATTTAGAAATAAGACACTTCTCACTGCCAACATGACAGCGGATTTTGAGCACTCAGAAAACACCAGGCCAAAAAACTGGAGACATCTTGATCTTTTAAGACAGCTTTTCCAGTACTTTAAGTGAAGGCGGGGGGGAGCGGGGAAAGAAAAAGAGGGAGAGAAAAGCTGCAAGGAAAATAATACAAAGCCAGCGCAATTGGCATCTAGACAGTAAAGAAAAAAGTTTTTGAGGTTAAGAGAAGGAAAGGCAAAGCTGTTATGTACCCGAGGGATGCAATTTTAGTGGGAATGGAAGATTTGAGTGGTAAAGGAGGAGCGCTCGCCTCCGGCTTCTCGCTCTTCCAGCAGTTGGGCTGCTGGCATCTCAATTTGAATTGCTGGGTGAGTAGCACTTTCTGCGGGCGTCCGACCACTGAACTTCTGGTGCGACTTCACTCCCTCCTCGTGCTCCTACTCTCCTAGCGCATGGAGTCCAAAAAAAGGAGGAAAAAAAAAAAAAACAACCCAAGCAGGCATCTCTCATCTCTAGCTGTGACCTTTGTTAGCGCCGCTACTTTTATTTATTTATTTTATGCTAATTGTCTTTTTTTTTTCCCCTTAATTAGGGCCAAGTGTGACTTTTCGATGGCACTTTAATTTTGTGGGAGCCGGGAGCAGCTGCGGAGGCAGGTTCTGCGAGACGGCGCCGCAGCCGGGTGCCCGCGCTCCTCCTCCTCTGCCTTCCTCCGCTGGGGCTCGCGGAAGGGGGGGACGGAATTCCGGGGCGCTTCCCCGGAATTCTGGGGCTGGGATGAGGGAGAGCTGGCGGGGGGGGGGCCGCGGCTCCCCGGGCGCCCCTGGCAGGTGCCGAGCGCGGCAGGGGGGACGCGGGCAGCATCCGCGCGCTCCGGAGGCAGCTCCGCGCCCGTGACATCACTGGGGCTCGCTGCGCTCTCCCCGCGCTGGGGGCGGAGGGGGCCACTTCAAAGCCGTCCTCCCTTCGGCGCCCAATTTCCTTAACTCTGAACCCATGCAGGTGAAAATGTGGTTTTTGTTGGTTTTCTTTTTTTTTTGGTTTTGTTTTTCTTTTTTTCTTTAGGAGAAAAAGTTGGTTTGCAGGAGGGCACAATCGGTTGCAGTTCAGGGTTTTTTTTGGTTGGTTTTTTTTTGGTGTGGTTCAAGTCTTGCCATAAAAATGAGATATTTTTCTTTTTATATATATATATTTCGAAACTAGTGAAAATAGGTACTAATTTTTAATTGGGTGATTTGCTCCTGCGTTTGGTTGATTCTCAGTTAAATTTTCTGAATTCTTTCGGAAGCTCTGTCCTAATGGAAAAGATAAAGATTTCAGGGACACTACATAAAAATGCTTTCATTCAGTGATAACGGAATATGAAAAGAATATGGAATTACGAGAAATATGATACAGAGTGTGTCCCGACACACTCGGAATCAAAGTCCAGGAGACTTTGTATCTATATTACAGGAAGTAAACCACTTCCGTACATTCCTGTAATTATAAATAAAAATGGAAATGTATTTGAGAATTATAGGTAGTATCTCATTTTAATAGGAGTGTTTTTTGGAGTGGAGGGGTTTTTTGCTTTTCTTTTTTTTTTTTAATCTCTCTCAGGCTTATTTGTGTAGTCACTAGATGGAGAAGGAGGAATTGCATGACTTGAGTACCTCTGATACCTTTGCCTGTCTGAATAGATTTATATCCCTTCCGCACTGGTTTATATCCCTTTTCTGGTATAAAACATCGAGGTGATAAAATTCTGCAGAGATTCCTAATGTTATTAGTCAATATCTAAAGTGACAGTTATTTAGTTCTTTCTTCTTTTGCTGCATGTTTGAGCGCACGTGTTTTACATGACTAGTGATGAAATCTTTTAAGTGTTTTACCTTTAGAGGAGTTCTTTCGTGGAGGCTCAGGACGAAAGGCCTGATAGCTCTGTATCAATGTGCGTGCTTTTCTTTTTATTCTAACATATATGCAGGGCATTTAAATTTCGATGTGTGTTCAGTGTCTCATTTGGGGGGAAACTTCATGCTGCATTAATTTTAAAAATGATTGATTTGGACTTACTTAATTCTATCACTCAATTGCTTTGTGGCAACGCGTAGCATTCGAGCATGCAAATCAACTGAAAATGAAAACAATTTTTAAAAAGCCTTGTTATTTGTTAAGCTCTTATTTTATACGTTTAATACATATATATAGGTACAGAGCACAATCCATTAAGCTGTGAATATTGCATTTTAAAAAGCTGTACTGGAAATTGGTGTCCTATTTTAAAGTATGATACGCATATTCATTTTTTAATAGTGCTAATGTTACTGCAGTAGCTAAAGAGAAGTGTATATAGTCATGCCTGCTGTTTTTTGTTGATTATCTGTGGTTTTTAGCAGCCTTACATTCAAGTTCTTATTGTAAACAAAAGTCAACAGATAGTCTAACAAAACCAGTGCAGCTATTTCTTTGGCAGTGTGTGCCTGTCTGGTGCTGAAATATGTAGTTTGTGTGCAAAAAACAAAGCTCTTGTAAAATGTGACATTTTACATAATGATAAACAGTAGGTAAAATTGAGATAATAGATTTTCATACAAAGCACATTAAAGTAAGGACTATCAGGGTGATTATGCAATCTCTTTTTTCTTCTATTCACTTCTGCCTGCTTCACATCTTGTCTGAATTTTAGTACATCCATGTTTTTCTGTATCTTTTCCTTTTCCGCTCCCTTTGTGGTAAGGATCATTTCCTAAAGACTTGTTTTGGTTTCATCAGTCTCTCTGCTTTCTATACTATATTATTCTATACTACAGAACATAATATTTCTATATACATTTTATGGCTACTATTTGGAAAGGCAGTATTTTTTTGTTATAGTCCAATGTATGCTCTCTTTCTGCTTTTAACCTCGTTTTGCACAGTTGAAGGCTTGCCTGCTATAAAGGAGATAATACCTGTTTCTAGCAGTTACCTCAAATATGTGAAGAAAGCCCAAAATACTTGCCAGGTGGGGGAAGAAGCACTACCTCTCCTGTTAGTAATAGAATAAATGTGCACCTCCGTGCAAAGAGCCGAGCACTTTGCCTTTCCTTCTCTTGTGGGAAAATTCACCTGTTGATCAAATGAATGATAAGCCAGAAATGCAGCGTGGGACGAGGCTGGGTACAGACAGGCCACAACTTAGGGGCACCTGGGCTGGTGACTCCTGCGTCCAGATGTTGCAAGGCTCAGGCAGAGCTAATGCAGCGGGGAGCTCTCTTTTCATCCAGAACCATTAAGGGAAGAAGTGAGGCAAAACCTCACTGGCAGGAGCATAATTAAAAGCAATTTTTGGAGCGTCTTAATGCATACAGCTGTGGCTGGACAGGTGCTTGCTCAGGACGGACCTGATGGTCACCGTCCAAGATTGCCGCAAGAGTTTGCAGAACAAGTTTCATTTTTCACCTTTCCCAAAGAAAAAAAAATTATATGTGTATACAGTAAGTAATAGTAAGATTCTTGCGCACACTTTGCAAGCCAAGCGTGAGCAGCCTTGGCAATAGTGCTGCACTGCAAACCTTTTCAGTTCTCCTGCGCAAGAACTTGCAGGCAGCAATTAGAGCTGGAGCCCTGTTCCCTTCCGCCTTACGCTGGAGGATTTGGCGTATGCTAATTGTCACCAGATAACTTCCCGTAATTGCCTTTTGGCAAAATTAAGTGGAAATTTCCTGAGCGTTTTAAGCGCTCCCTTCCCCGCCCCCTCCCTCATCAGCGCGGTCCCCGACGTGGGGGATGCGGGACAAGTTGAACATGGCAGCGTGTTCAGGGGATGCTTAAAATTAACAGTTAAGAAGAAAACGCTCCTTTTCTTCGGTGATTGCTGGGATGGCGAGCCCAGGAGGCTGCTCTGGTGGGTTGTCTGAGCGGGTGCTCGGGGAGGTGGGATTTGGGAAGCGGGCGCTCCTGCTGGAGCAGCCACCAGAGCCGGAGAGAGGGCGACAGAGCGGTTAGGAGCCAGCAGAAGTGCTGCTCTTACTCTATTTTGTGTGATTTTAATTATTTTTTAAGGGAAGGGCTGCGGGGGGTCAGCGGGTTTTGTCACGCTCCCTGAGGGGGGGTATTGTCCCAGCGTGGGCTCATCAGGGCTCCTGTCATCGCTTGTGCAAAAGGGGAAAATGAGCCTTTTTTTAGCAGGGAGGGCCGGGACTATCAATGAGGCCTTGTCTGCAGCCACAAAGCGGGGCAGCCAGGGCAGGACCTTCTGCATCCATGGGCCACGCTGACCTGGGAAAGGGCTCGGGCCACCCCGTCAGCTACAAGGGAGCAGGGGGCAGAGGGTTTCGGGGTGGCAAAGATGCTTGGTCAGGTGTGAAAACATCCGTTAAGGGAAATAAACTGCGGGTCTCCTTGCTAAGCAGAGCAGGGCAGAGCCAAATCTTTATCCTTTGAGGAAATGCATCCTGGCTAAGGTGGCTGTGTGAAGCTGAGCGCGTTGGTTCGTGCGGTCAGCGGGGCAGGAGCGCCGCTCCGGCAGGGTGAAGCATGGCGATACTTGCGGATTTGCCCGGTCTTGCAACTTAGTTTTCTGTGTCTCTGTGGGAGAAGTGGGAGAAGGCTTTGCAGGGTAGCACCAAGGTGAGATTAACCATAGGAGGGGGAAAAATCCTGTCTCCCTTCCCAGCATCTTGGGTGCTGCAGAGCTGCTCAGCAACATCTGTTAACATTTCAATGGCCGCAGCCAGCATAGCTGCAATGGCACCGTCTGGGAAATGCACAGAAACAGATTATGCACCTATTTTTAATGTAAACTAGTGTCGAATGGTACCCAGGAAGCCACTGCAGGAGGGCCCGCTGATCCCAGGGCACCGTGGGGCTCCTACACCCACGAGGAGGAGGGGAGCGGGTGGCAGAGCCCCCTCCACACGGCTTTAGTTTTATTGTACAGGGCTCATAAAGGCACGTGCAGGGCCCATCTTTCTTCTGCAGTCGGGGAGTAGCGGGGAGGAGGACATGGCTAAAAAAGGCAGGCGGAGCTCTTGCCCCGTTTGCTTTCGCTGCGCGCTCGTTCATCGCTACCGGGGTGGATGGCGACCCTTCCTTCCTCCCGGGTTGCCCGTCGCGGAGGTCGAGTGGGAGCCTCTGGGGCTCTGGGGTGCAAGTGCCCCATCAACCTTTCGCTCGCCACGCTGCTCGCTGCCAGTGGCCACCAACCTCAAGGGGCTCCCCGCTCACGGATGCGGGAGGTTTCACCTTGCTCCTGGCAGAAACCTCCATTGCTGCTGCCCTGCGTCACAGAGCCTCTATATGTTTCTCCGACTTCAAATTAATGTCACATTTGTGTTGCCCAAGCCCATGTCCTGCATTTGCAAACAGAAGTGGCAGCAGCAAACTCTTCCTGCGTGGAGGCTGGTGTCTCTTTGTGTATCCTACAAAGTGCCATTTCATTTCATGCAAGTCTTAGGTTGCTTTCAGAGACTTAGGATTTGGATGGATTTGTACTGCGTGTATTAACTCCTTCAATAAATGGCGAGTATTCATCAGTGGGGTATATTAAATGGGGTTGTAAATGCATACAAGCGTCTTTCATCCTGTTAATGAAATGTCCTTACCATGCAGCAAAGACTAGTACACAGCAATTTACACACATGATTCCCTGCAGTTGTAATGCGAAGTTCAGCTTTTCCTGTTGTTTTTTTCTTTCCTAACAGCACCTGCATAAGCTATATGAATCTTGGGGCCCCTCTCAAATGTCTCATCAGCCCCAAATTCGGTGCGAGGTTTCATTCCAAAGTTCCCTTATTTAATATCATGTGTGTTTTAAGCACTCCCAGAACCATTTCAAATTCATATATAGAGATTTAGTAGTTGCGTCCCTATGGGGACAATTTCCTCCGGTTTGCTTCAGGCAGGGGTTATCAAGAAAAGCAAACTTGTGTTGTTTTTGCTGCGGTTCTTTACGGTGCCCTCTAACCCAGCGTGCGAGCCCCTGGCTCTCGGTGGCAAGGGGTGATTTATTGGCAGATGACTTGGTACTTTGTAGATGCTGTGATTCTCCGCAGAAATCCCTGCTTGCTCCCTTCCTGCGACCACATGTGCCGATGCTAATCTGTGTAGGCCAGCGCAGCTCCGTGTGTGACATAGCCATAAATGGAATTCTTAAAAGTTGCCAGAGAAATTCCTGCATCTCGGGATGGCTTCTAGCTTAAAAGGGCCCTCCATAGAGTACTAGCAAGTGTATGCTGGAAAAGGGCCTTTTGCAGGGGGAAGGCTAAGGTCATCTAATAGGTGTCTCCTCCTCTTGATGGCTTCTGCAGTTTACCTTTCACTGCCAGTGGATGGGGTTAGGACCACACTCGTTACTGTGGCAGAACTCCCATTGGCTTCAAAGGTAGATGCATATGCAGGATTAATCCTGCTCTTTTCCAGCAGGCCCTTTCTGTTTCTTTTTTTTTTCCAAGGAAGCTTAGTTAACCTCAGGAATGCTGCTTTTAAAGACCAGGGTGTTTAGCATATTATGCATAATGAGCTCAGCTTGCAAATTGTGTGTGCTCTTCCCAGCTAGGTCTCCTTTTCTCAGGGTGTAATAAAGAGGACCAAGCAGAATACCAGCCTTGCCAGAGGACAGGCATACTGGTGCAGGTAGATTTGCAGGGATGCTGGTTTGGATTCACCTAATTTGGACAAAATAATCTTAAATGTGTAAATGCATTTTCCCCTTTTCTCCCAATATATTTTCCCTCTCCCTGCACCCCTGTCTCAGTATGATCAGAGCAGAAACCATACTTATATATGAATTATCTATTTGGCACAAGGATGGTCACTCAAATAAGAATTACTTACCTGGGGAAAGGTTTGTGGGCTAAGCTTCAAATCCTTGGCTGTTGATTTCTGTTTGTCTTATTATCTTTCCTCTTCTCTGAAAGGCATTAAGCAAAATACGTAATAATCTAGCACTTGTGCTATTTTACCAGGGTTTTGCAGGGGGTCTTGGTATATCAAAGCAGTGGGAGGTGGTTTCCCACAGCGTACATGTGACTCCCCATGGTATATCTGTCTTCGGCAATGCCGACACCTAAGTCCAGCTTTCCTCTCTAAGGCTGCTTCTTGTTTGTTGTCTTAGGTCTGACCCTGTAATGTTATTCTGTCACTTTTTTTTTTTTAACTAACCAGTTCTGATTTCTATGAAAATAAGCTCTCCATGGAAGAGCGACATTAACGCTGTTACTCTGTCAGGATCTGGGTGAGATTTTGGCAATAACGTGAAAACAACCGGGAGAGCAGAGAGCTCTAGCAGCTACCAGCCACGCGCTACGTCGCTCAAAGCAGGAGTTCACAGAATCCTTTGGAAACCAAAATTCCACTTACTGGGAAGTAATTTTGGGGGGGAACCAGACTTTCATTCGGTCATTTGGCACACGAAGTTGTGCGGTGCTGAATAGCAGCCGGGTGGTTTGGGTGGTGTGTGGTGTGATTCGCTATGTGATACCCTTGCCAAACCTTGCGGCACTTTCAGGCAGCTCAGGTGGTTGACTTGGAAGAAAATGGGTTTTTGGTCTGAGCGTTTCTGTTGACTTTTTGGATTAAGAGGCTAAATCCCCACAGCTGCTCTGATGTAAACCCAAGATGGTTCTTTGTGGCCGAGGCTTGTCCTTAGTTGTGTGACTGACAGAGGCTCTGACCCAGGGCCCAGCCAGCACAGCAGCTTTGGCTGCCTCAGCCATGCTCTGTTGGTGGGACCTGCTGTGCCCCAGGCTCATTATTAGCGATGGGTCTATGAGGGTTAAAAAAAAAACAAGAAACAAGATAAAAGTTGTGGGAAGCGTAAGCACTGCCATTTCTCTTTCTTCTTGGATGCATAGGAATTTTTTGCAAAATGTCAAATTTGGTAAATAGCCATTTGCTTGCCAGCAGATGGGTCATACCATCATCTCCCTCTTCCTCCTCCAGTATAGCAGCTTGTTCTTGAAAAATAGTGGAGGTATTTCTGAAATGCCTCTCAGAGCAGCTCAGGGTGCTCAAACCAAGATGAGGTAGCGGTGTGCTTGGGCCTGCACGGTGAAGGTGCGTGCGTTTGGGGCGAGCTGGGGACCGGGTGGCCGCGTGCGGGAGCCCAGGACGGCGCTGGTGCAGCCCGAGCGGCCCCGGCGCGCTCGGGTGCCGCTGCGCTATCGCTGCTCTGTTTTAATGTGATTCCTTTTGCTTGATGTTAATGCAAGTTGTTCCTTACTTAAAGTAATAAAAGGAAATGAAGACACATTCTAAAATGAAACCTGACTCTAATCCATTCATCATCTAATACCAGCCTCTTTATCTTTGCTGGTACCTAATCTGGTTAAATGTCCCTGTTGTAGGATTTTAGTGAAAATCCTCTATGGGGAATAGGGGTTTTTGCAATTGGATTACTCGCAGTAAATGGTCCAGCAGTTCACTTGTTTCAGCTTAATTTTTTCTTTGTGATCTTGTAAGGGTAAGTTACAGTTCAGCCTGCCTTTGCCTTTCATTCATTCATTTCTTTGCTCTTTTTTATTGTTGTTAGGAAAAAAGATCTTTCCCCCCAGAGCTAGGAATGTGACAAGTAAAATCTCGTGATATCTGCGCGATTATTCTCCCCACAAGAGTTTTAATTTCAATGGCTTTATGTGTGTTTCTGACATTATTTTTACAGCTGAATACTTTAGTAGCCTAATTCGCCAGTATCCAGTTTCCATTTATTAGTGCTCTCCAATGAATTGATAATTAATCAGCTCTCTTAAAATATATGTATATAAAATATGCAGGTGATCACTTGTCAGCTTAATGCTTGCTGATGAAGGGAATACTCCAGCACCACAAAGGCTTTTTATCTGGCGTGTGTTCGTGTTGAACAGTAAAATGCAGAACTGAAAGTGGGAACAGGAAGGGGAAAGGGAAAGTCCTGCAGGTCAGCGAGCACTTGGGTCTCTTGCTAATTAAATGGGGGGCTCTGCCAGCCCCGCACAAAGTGCCCTGCCCACATCTTGGGGGCAAAGCCCTGGATTTTCAAATTAGAAATGAAATTTTAAAAATTGCTGCTGCGCCATGCAGGAGCACAGGAGGTCAAAAAGATTTAAAAAGACCCGTGTGCAGGGAAGGAGTGTAAAGGTGCTGAAATCCTGACATGCAGATACGCTGTTTGCTGCAGGGGGAGGCTACAGCTCTCCTAACACCCCAACATGTTTTCTCTCCACAGTCTAACAAAGTACCAGTTGTGCAGCACCCACACCATGTACACCCTCTCACGCCGCTTATCACGTACAGCAATGAGCACTTCACACCAGGAAACCCTCCTCCACACTTACCAGCCGACGTAGACCCCAAAACAGGTAGGTGGGAGCCCGTGCTGTGTCCTGAGGGTGGATCTCCTCCTTTTGCATAGCCTGGGGAAGGGCTTCCTGTGCCAGAGCACCCAAGGGGACATGCGAGACGTAAGGCACAGGCAAGGAGCTGGCCAAAATAGTTTCTCTTTACCCAATTAGGCTTCAGAAGGAAACCTACTGGGTGAATTTTCTTGAAGCCTCTGTGCTGTGACACCAGAGTTGCATGCATGGGGTCGTTTGCAGGTGTGTTTCTTTGCTAGCATGATACTCCATACAGTAGTTGGATCTATTAATGGCTTGGTTTGCATGCACGACCCGGAGAGTTAAACATGTACACTCTGTGATCTACGCTTAAAAAATTGCAGCTGGAATTTTAAAGGTGGTGGGTCATGACCGCTTTCGAAACGAAGCTCTTTTAATTCCCCAAATCCCATTGTTTCTGTGTCAGGAGTTCAGCCATTTTTCTCCTATAATGTTGAATTTTCATCTACCCTAGCTGCTTAACTCCAGCCATATACTTGCAACTCGTTTCCCCAGTGTAAGTCTACCCAGCTCTCCGTTCAGCCTGAAGGGCAGTCTTCTTGAATATAGAGCAACGTATAAAACCCTGACTAGATTTATTGGTGTTACAGAATAGAATTTACATGTTATTCTAACTTTTTAAGAGTCCCTGTTTAACCTTAGGGCTCAGAGAAGTCAAACAGTGTCAATCTTCCTTCTTTAGGCTGCATTGAGCTCTTAGTAACAGTGTTTTTGTTTTTGTTAATCCAAATCCCAGCTAGTTAATTAGAAAGTACATCTGAAACTGAATTGTGTCAAGAGTTTGTCAGAAGAATAGCCGTGTTGTCCCTAACGTATGCAGATAATTTATCTAAGCTCCAGTCCTTGAATGAGGCAGTACATTAGCTGTTTTTCACCGCATACGCTTCAGTTGGGGCCCCCTTTTAATTGTACTTAATGCTAACTTCACATGGCTTAAAAGGAATCCATCTCGCCATCCCTGGGTATTGCAAGTGAATGGCATAGTCAGCCCCTCATTTAAATAATGGTAGTACAGGGAATAGCTTTTAAATGGTTATCGTAAAACATATGATTAACGTCTGTAGACTGTTTACTTTTCTTCTGTGAACATTCTTTCAAGTGTGCAAATAGCTCACTGTATGGTTAAAGCCCAGTTAATCTGTTTGGTTTTTGTAATGGAGAAAAAGCAATGCCTGCATGAAAATGTCACACAAGGAGATTTAATTTAGAGATTAAAAGCTTCCTGAGTGACTTAAAAAATAGGTTTTAGCCATGAATACAGTGCCCCTTCCTTTTAGTGCTCTCTGTTTTAATTTTGCTTCTATTATGTTATTGTGCTCTGGCTTGTTACTTGAAAGACCCAGTCCTGTAACCCTTACTCAGCTGAGTAATTCTTACGTGCCCTAAAGGTAAGAGTATAAGCTATGGGCTGATACCTGGAGCTGATTTCTACGCTCTCCACAGGATCTGCACCAAGCCAGCCAAGACACATGGGCTCTCTCCCCGGGCACCTCCAGTCCCCCAGTTTTACCTGCCATTTAGAGGTCCCTGCTCTTTGGTTTTTGAGAAAGATATTACTTGGTTCTGTGTGTGTAGCCTTTCATACACCTTGAAAGTGTAATTTGCTCCTTTGGAATAACGCCCTGCTATCAAGCACACAGTCCACGTCCAGTTGGGGCCTCTGTTTCTTGGTGACTTTGAGAGCAAAATAACCATGGACTCAGTAGAGAGGTCACCCTTCTGTTGAGCATTTAAGCACAGGGTCACATCCCACCTGTAGCTGAGACTACTAAATTCCTAACCTAAACAATAAAATAATATCTCTGGTTGAAGAAATGTCCAAGGAGAGAATCACATCATCTTTTTCTCATTGAATCTCATTTAACAAGATACCAACAATCTCTCTGTATAAACTAAGACTGAGAAATATCCTTTGGAAGCTCAAAGTGTAGACATGAGCATTGTAATATAAAAGAATAGTTAGCAGTACAGGAACATATATGATTTTTACTTTTGTTTCTGTATTTCCGTGACTCAATACTAAAACCACTTTATTTTCCTCTTCCTTAGGAATTCCAAGGCCTCCACATCCTCCAGATATATCTCCTTATTATCCGTTATCACCGGGCACTGTAGGACAAATCCCCCATCCGCTAGGATGGTTAGTACCACAGTAAGGAGTTCCATTTTTTTAATTTCCATTTTAATTTTGATGTATAAAATTTATGTTAAAAAACTTGTGTGTCTGTGTGCGCATGTGTGTGTGTGTTGAGATAAGTCTGTTTGCCAACTGCCACTTTATTGAGTGGTTATCAATTTACCCACTTCATAAAGATTAATTAAAACTTATACCAGGTCATGTGGTCTTAAACAAACATGAGCAGTTGGGCACAGCTTTGCATGTTGTTTCAGCTTGCTGATGGCTTGTGAAGCATGAATTTTTAAACTCTTCCACAGAAATGACTTGTTCTTATTAATGCCCTTATGCTGAGCTATGTATCCTTTTATTTATTTTTTTAATATGTCCTGCAATTTGGTTTTCTGGGTACTCGTGGTTGTTTTAATGGACATCTTTTTAATTTTTTTTAGTAGGACCATTCTCACTATAAATGTGAAATTCTGAGTTTCATTGGCTTTCGCTGTCAAAGCTCTATTCATTTTTCTCGAGAAGCAGCAGATCTTTGTGTTGGACAGTTGGTATCTCAGGAAGGGGGTTTCCTGCCAGACAAGAAAGAGGAATGAATTTACTTCCAAATCTGCTAAGGAAGAAGCCAGGGAAAGTTAAGGAAGAAGCTAGAGAAAGTAGCATTTTTGTTTGCTTGTTTGCTTGTTTTTTCAATAGCAATCACTAGTAAAGTCTAGGGAATGAGGCTTCCTCCAGTAACTGAGTCTTTTTTTTTTATTTATTCCTCCATGATACCATCACTGCAATGGGTTTATAATGAATTTCCACGCTGCTTAGGCCTTTTGTGCAGCATATTTTACTTAAATGTTTTATAAAACACATTTGTGTTGCTGAATACAATGGTGCTCTACATTATAAATCAACATTATTATCATGTTTTTCTCACATAACAGGCATTTAGGCCTCATCCAGAGTGGGGAGATTGTATTTCGTTAGGAATGAATTGCCCTGAGCTAGGAGGATTTTCTTCCCGCTCGAGGTTATTTGGCCAGCTGTGCTAAAAATTCCTTTTTTTCTGGTTTGCTCTCCTGAAAGAAATGGGATTTGCACCATGAAGGAGAGGGGTAGGAGCCGAGGGTGTCCAGGCACACCAGAGCTCAGGCCCTTGGCTGTGGGGTATTCGCACCCCTCACCCATCGTCTTGCTTGCCAAATCTCCCCAGCAGAGCATAGCACAAGCAGGACAAAAACCCAGATTTCCCTGAAATCATAAATTCCTCCTCATTGTGCTGATTATTTGGAGAAAACCCTGCACACTGGTAGGACACGTGTCAGCTGCTTTTTTCCTCCTTTCTCGCTTGCAGTACAGCCAACTTATGCTCTTCTCCTCTTCTCTTGCAACTGCTCGCCTCAGTTTTGCATAGTAAATGCCTCAGTATGTAAAACAAATATACTGAGATACTTTCAGAAGTCAGGAGCATTAATCAAGTGAGGATGTAGGGAAGAAATTCCTTCTTGTCACTGACTGGCTTCTCATTGTATAAATGTGTTTCAGTGCCTTATGTGCCTTAAAATGACACATATAAGTCCTTCTTGAGCCAGACCCAGGCCAACGTGGCCACATGTGGCCAGTTTCAGCACCCAAGTGACAACAGTCACCTTCATCACATGAGGGGTCTGTCATCACCATGAGTTATCCTAAGCTGACACCAATGGTATATTCGCTTACCCAAGACTCTCAAGCTTCTCCCTGTGCTTTTGGTGCGGGATGATACTTTCATATTCACTTTTTCTCTGGAACAGTAGGATGGCCAACCTCGCAGAAGTAACAAAAGGCTTTTTTTGTCCCTCTCCTTGCCCCTCATGCTTCACAGTCAACTTCTCAGTCCATCCATCTTCAGTTGGCCTGGATGTCTCTACCATGGTGCCCCACCAAAGAAAGGGTCCTACCCATTCAAGTGATATATTTGAAGGACAGATAAAAAGAACTAGCCAGCACAGACAAATCTCAATCAGAAAAAGTTGTGTGTCTTTCATGAGGATGCTGTTTTGCATGTTGCTGTATTTTTTAATTATTGTAATGAGGTGTGATTGTCTATTGGTTACCCACAATACTTCTTGGGGACTCTCCCCCGGTAACTCTTGTCAACACTTGTTAATCTGACAAAAGGCTACAAATTAAGCTCTGTTAATTTAATGTTTTCTCACCGAGATCTAAATACCGAAAGAGGCCCAAAGCGCAACTGAAGTCCTTTGATTCACTGTACTTTATTTTGGTATAAATTTACATTCATTATTGTTTTCCTTTGGATGTGTAGCCCTCAATTAGTGTGATGGCTCCATTAAAGCAAGCGAGACTTCGCCTTTAATTATTACAACAAAACACCTAGTTTCAGCTTGGGGAGAGGGTCTCTATTGACATAAGCAGAGGTTATAAAATTTAATTAGCCATTCCTATCAGATTTATGGCATTCAAATTGTTCTGTGTTTCTTTCCTTTGATCCTTGCTGTACAATCCCCAAGATTTTTGTTCTGATCAAATGAGAATAAAGCTTACTGTGCAGGGAGAAGTTTTTGTTGTTTTTTTTTTCCTTTTTCCAACCCTTTTTTCTCCCTCTCATTCTCTCCTTGCCTTCTTTCTGCCAGGCAAGGTCAGCCCGTGTACCCGATCACGACGGGGGGTTTCCGCCACCCTTACCCGACAGCCCTGACTGTCAATGCTTCCATGTCAAGGTGAGTTCAAAAGGATGACCTGAGTCGGGAGCGAGTGTCGCTCCTCCCGGTGTCCCCCCTTGAGGAGGACATTTCTTTGGGGAGATGCGTTTCTGGAAGTGAACGACAGTGCTCAGATCTTGGTGGGGTGGAAGAGGAGAGGACAAGTTTGGTGAGGTGTGGACAGAGGTGAAGGGAAAGTGTCTCTAAAAGCCAACAAAATGAACAAGCCAGGAGAATGTGATGCTGGAAAAGCAAGGAGGAGAAGTCGTGACACCATTTGCATTCCTGGGGGCTGTCACCCGCAGCGATGCTCTGCGGGCGGTGGGGGCTGCTACCCAAGCAAGGGTATCGCTCTGTGTTTTCCCCCACCAAAGCTCCAAACGCTGATAGGCAACATGAAAGGACCTGCCTGACCCTCTAAAGCTTTAGAAGTATGTATTTCTCCCCCTCCCTACCTCCAATTAATTCCATCTAATTTTCCAGGGGCTGCTAGTTTTATTTACAAACTGGTTGGCAGCACTATGTTTAAGTAATCACTAATTGCTCCTAATGATAGTTTTATTTTCTGTTCATCTGATTTTCAGTCTGGTTAATTAAATCGGTGGAGGTTTAGACTTTCCTGATGGGCTGAAACAGCTAATCCATTTTGATGATGGCACATAATTAAATTAGCATGCATTACATAGCAAGGTTCCACGTCTCTTCCCTGTTCTGTCCCTTCCTCTCCATTTCTGCAGTTTAATATGTGGAGGTCAGTGTATAGAGGACTTAAGGAGGCAAAGATTTCAAAAAAAAAAGAAAAAAAGCACATACTGCCTTGAGCAATGGGAACAAATAACCAGAGCTCATGAGTGAATGAGTAGGGAAACACTGTTATATGCTTTAGATCAATAGAAGTAAAGGTAAAAATCCAAATCTGCCCATGTTGCTCCAGCAACTAAAGAGAGACAACTGGAAAATAAACTTAAAAAAAAAAATGAATAGACCCAGCACAGAGAGGAAAAAAATCCGGGGCTGGGGAGAGCACTGCAAATTTAAACAATGGTTCCCTCCCTGCATTTAATCTTTTTAAATATCTACAAAAGATTTGCAGGCACAGTGCGAGGCAAAGTAGAGCTTGATTTAGTTTAATTATTATTAGAGAGGCTAGTCATTTGGGGGAGGGGGGAGAGGTGGGAGGGGGGAGGCTATATTCCCAAGATAGGCTTTATGAAAGGTATCTAGTTAAAAAGAGTACACAGCAAATTAAATACATTATTGTGGTAATGGGACGACAGAAGTAGAGGTCTATTATACTTATGGCAGTTATAGGAAATGTAGGCTCCTTGCCCTGTTCTAGCACATCCTTTGATATTCATTCCATTCAGCAGCAGGGCCAGGACTTCTCAGAATTAAGTGATGGGTCATTATACTTTAAACACCATGGAGAAGCCTAGATTGGCAATTAAACAGCACTTGCTGACACTCGCTTGTGCCACCCTGTGACCCCCTTTAGATTGAGTTGTTGGAGCTCGGGGCCCTCAGCCTGCTAAATTGGTAGCAGGCACTTCTCCTGACGAGGGCTGGCTCTGAAATCTGCCGGCTTCAAAGGGAGCAAGATCATGTATAAACCATAATGTGGGTGCACCGTGGCTCAAAAAATAAGGCAGGAATAGATGAAATGTTACAAGTGCAAGGGGAAAATGAGAGAATAATGACAAATCTAATGCAACTCAAAGCAGAATTGTTGCACAGAAAAATGCATCCCACTGCTTGTGCATAAAATCAAGGCAGGCAGATGACATCCAGTTAACAGAAACATGTCAACAGTGAAGTAAAGTGAGAGTGAGTAAGAGAGAAGCCCCTGAGACAGCCAGGAACAAAAAATTAGTTGTCCTTAACAAGTTAAGACTCATCATTATATTCTGGCTTGGAGCCATAAAAGGAGACAGTGGTGTATAATGAGCTGCTTAGAATTTTTAGGGTGTTTATTGCAATTCATGGAATACTTGTCTGGAGAAAAAAAAATCAAGGGGGATGCTGAGGCAAAGGTGAGGGGTGTGTGTGCGTGCACACAGCCTCCCTGTATGTCCCCCGCGCGCCCAGCGTGCCCGTACGTGGGCTGGGGAGCAGGTAGGAGATGCTGGTCCCTTGTTTTGGCCTGGAAAGGAGCACAGGCCGGGCGCCGGTGCCCAGCGATGCCCGTCATTGCAGCCAGGGCAGAGCCCAGCTTCGCCTCCAAGGCCAATTCCCTTTTTCCCAAAGCCTGCCTTTAAAAAGTCCTTCCTGTATTTACCTGCCTTCTCATGTCGACCTTCAGAGCATATAATGCTTCCCAGCCCAGAATATTCCCAAAGCTTAGCAATTACAGTCCGTTAGTTAGAACATGCTTATGAATAGTTTATAAAAGGTTAATGGGTGACTAATAATAATTTTAATAAATGGTTTAGACTATTAGGTAGTGTCTTCAGGTTGTTTTAACCATTTACAACATTTCTCTCTGCTTGTCACATCCCCTCACTTCTTATGCATGCAACACGCTTAATAACATCTCTTGATCCCTTATGACCCCTCCATAATGTGGCCTTAATGTAAATGGAGACTGGGTTAACTGACTGATGGGCAAACAGTGCAGCCCCTATGAAAATGCAAGTGCTGGGAAAGAAAATTGGGGAAGAGCTTAACAACGTCGCAGCACATCCAACACTGCATGGAAGCCAAGTGATATTTGTGATGTTTAGGAACCCCTTTCCTGTGTCTAACCTTCTCCATGCTCAGTCTTTCCCACCCTTTCATCCTTGTGCTGCCACTGCATGCAGCTGCCCTCCCTCACTGCCACATGTCCCCCATGCCAGGCGAGCTCAGCTCTTCCCTTCTCCTCCCCAAAGGCAGGTTTTGCCCTATCATTGCTGTATCATCAGCTCTCACACCCATTCTGTGCAGGGAGTTCACCTAGGAAAGACAGTCCTTAGGTGGGGAGCATGACAACTGTGCTTACCTATCGATTTTAATGTGTGTGTATATATATATATGTATATATATATTTAGAAAAGCTAAAACCCATCCCCTTTGAGTTCTTACTCCGTATTTATTGTTTGCACTGCACTACGGCCAGGGGCCCCAAGCGTGGTGTGAACACACTGAATGTCCAGTCCACACAGAGGGAGGGACAGCAGAAGGAAGTGAAGTGAAGGCCCTATTTGTGTCCTGCCCCCTCTGAGGCCGTTTGGTAGCAGGAGTGGGTCTAGAGCAGCCCTGGCATCGTCTCCTTCCTGACCTGCCATGCATCAAAGTCTGTTCCCAGCCAGACGCTCTCTGCTCTGCCACTTACTTCCATTAGGGAGCTGGGGAGGTCTATTAACAACCCACTTGGAGATTTGTATCAATGAGTCTTTTAATAACAGTAGAAACCTTTGAAGGAGTGACCACTTGCCTGCCCATTCTCCTCTGCTCTTGCCATCCTCCTTCCTCCTCCTCTCCCTCTCCCCGTGCCTTTGTTTGTAGGGGCTGTAATTTTTCTCCAGTTTGAGCAGTCTGACATCCTCCCTGTCATTCCCTGGTCTTCCCACCACTGGCTTCAAAGATAAAATACTTCTGTCCAATGATCTTGAGTGCTACTAGCTGACAGAAAGAAATCCACAGAGCTCCTATTGGATATAAATTCTTTTTATGAAAGTACCGTTCTGTGCTAGATTGTAAATGTAAGGAATATTTAGGCAGTTTGGGGTGTTTTAAGTTTAGTAATGGAATTTTGCAGGGGGTGGGGAGTAAGGAAATCCCATTATATTCTAATATATGTGTACTATCTCCTTAGCGATGGTAAAACACTTATGATAGAATAAATAATTCTTTTTGCCACTGTTTCTCCATATTATGATACTTTATTTGAACCAAAGCAGCTCAGAATTCTGAGTAGAGAGTAGGGTTTTACAAAGAAAGTAAAGTTAATGTTTGCCAGATTATCTTAGCCTTGGAATTGCTGAGAGAAGTTACTTTTGAGCCAAAACTCTGGGTTAGATCCCATTCCGTGGAGACCAGTTGGCTTCAGTGGGAGTTCTGTTAGACAAAGTCATGCAGTCATTCCCTGTGAAACCTTTTGAGACTTTTGAGGAATAGTAATGATAAAAATCCATCCTTCTTTTGCAAAGTTTAATTTCATTAAGAGAAATAAAAAGACTTAATGATTGTGGAATGTTTGTTCTATGGCCTTGACTTGGCAATTAGAGTCTGTGCAAAAGGATTCCATATCCCTGTGAATCCAGCTGCAGGACTGTGACTCCATGTATATGACCATGAATCATAGAGCTGACAGCATTTTTTTCTCTTTAAAAAGGCTAGACTGTTGTTTTACAAGAATTTAAGTCTTCCTCGGTTACCTTAATGGATCAAAACCGACTTCTTTCCACAACCCACCCACCTTCTGTTAAAGCAGTGTGGCTCAGAGATTTATTAGACACAAATAGGTATTTTCTTTTGCTCCATCAACAAAATGTAGCTAATGAGGCATCTATACGGATTATCAAAAATGCATCTGGATTGTGTTGGCATTAATATTTTATTTTGCTGTCAATATGCAACAAAAGCTGTCATCCCAAATTCACAACATGATTCAGAACTATAAGAATTGGTTCCTCAGTTGCCATAGATAATTTCTTAGTGAAAAAAAAAATGGACTGGTGGATTTTCTTGCAGGTAGCTGAAATTCCACTTTCATCCAAGTTCATCCGGTTGAATTTGCCTTTTGCTAAAGATGTTAAAAATCATGATGTCTCATGTCAGTAATGATAATGAAGGGAAAGATTGGCTTTAATGACATTAGAAGAGTCATTATCTTTAATTTATTGCTAATTAATGCTGCCAGCTTTCATACGCTTTGTCTAGCTGTCATGTGCTTGTTATATGCCTTTTTTTTTTAATGTGTGTACACATCCCTCCCCATTCATTCATTTTTATTCTGACGATTTACACAGCTTTCTCTCCTCTAGGTTTCCTCCACACATGGTCCCGCCACATCATAGTTTACATACAACTGGAATCCCTCATCCGGCCATAGTCACACCAACAGTCAAACAAGAATCTTCCCAGAGCGACGTCGGCTCACTCCACAGCTCGTAAGTTTTATTTATCAGAAATTCCTAAATATCACATTTATGTGTGTAACTTCAAAAAGCTTAGATTTGTAGGAATGCTTTTTGCCAAAAAAAAATGAAAAGTAGCTTTCTCTTTTCTTATGTCTAAGTGATTTGATCAGCATTTAACTACAGAATATGTGAAAATTACATTGATACTTAGTCTTTTAGAGCACTACTATGATGCAGGCAAGTAGCTATTAATTTGACCCATTTTAATAAGGAAATGAAATCCTGTTGATTAGCTTTAAAGATTTTTTACTATTTTCCCTGTTATTTATTACTATGAAACTGTGAGATATAAGGTACGCAACTTGGGTAGATAAATCAGTCCATAAATAGCTGCAGAGAGCACTGGTATCAAGCTTAGGTACAAACTGAGAATAAACCTCATGTACTTGCTCCTCCTTCACTAGCACATCTGGTACTTCTTGCCGTTAATTTAAGGGGTTAATCAGAAAGACAGCATTTCAGATCCCAGTGATGATGGTGCTTAATTATTTCTACTACCGTCATGCTCATAAGCCCTCCCTGTGAACTAAGAATCCATTTTTTCTAGGTTCTTGCATCCTTTTGAGGTTTTTCTAGGAGGTGAGTGTACCCAGTGATGTTGTGTAAACGTGAGATAGATTTTGTTGAAATGCTGTTAAAACGGTCCTCATATAGCAGCCAGGATATATATATCTAGGCTCTAGAGAACTTTTTGGATCTCAATGGCCAGTTGTAAAAGTGGACAAGGATAACTTTATTCAGACTTTTTTATAGTGTCCAATTTCTGAGGATTTATGTGCTGGGATGGAGGGGATTAATTTAATAAATTCACAGGAGTCCTCACTGTAAGGTTTGTGTCTGTTGTATCTTTACCCTTCAGAAAACATCAGGACTCCAAAAAAGAAGAAGAGAAAAAGAAGCCACACATAAAGAAACCTCTTAATGCTTTTATGTTGTATATGAAGGAAATGAGAGCAAAAGTTGTAGCAGAATGCACATTGAAAGAGAGCGCAGCCATCAACCAAATCCTCGGTCGGAGGGTAGGTAACGGGAGCAGCCGTGAAGGAGAGGCACGGCCGGAGGGTGAAACGAGAGCGAGACTGGGAGGGATTCACCCTGCTTGCACGCAAGGGCAACTGTGGCCTGCTCAGCTGGTGTGTTTTCCTCTGTTTTTGTGATGACGGGTCGTGATGTAAAGATTCAGAGAATCCAACTAAACCAAAGACCGTTTTTAAGTTTTTATCCCTGAGGTCATTTGCTGGGAAGAGGAAGAAGAGAAGGGAAAGGGGAGGCAGGGTGGGAGGGAAGAAGGGGTGTTTTTTATTATTATTATTATTGGTATTGTTATTACAATGCTGTTTGCATGAGGTAGACATGTAAAAATCCCAGATTCCTTCTGATACCATCCTAGAAATAGGCAGGTATTGGAACCTGCATGAACGAGGAGAAGGAGAGGGTAGGATGCATTGGAAAAAGGAGGGAGATAGAGCTTTATAATGCCTGTAGTTGAGGTCATGGGCTCAGAACAAATGGTTCAGGTTTTAAATCCCCCTGTTCTTTGTTTCTATTTTTTTTTTCATTCTCTTCTCTCCTCTGGCAAACACAGGGACTGAATGAATGTAAATGACTAATGGTGTCTCAGTTAACTTAACTGTAGTTATAATCTGGAACTATAAATAAAATATGAACTGGCGGTATTCCAGACGATCTATTTTTATCCACTGTGTTTCAAGAAAATCAATTCTAACTGTATTTATATATAACTATTATACCCTGCTATTAGCATGCTTAAAATAATGTGCTTTTTATTTTGTCTTTTTCTGTTCTCCACCTCAGTGGCACGCGTTATCCAGAGAAGAACAAGCGAAATACTATGAACTAGCAAGAAAGGAGCGACAGCTTCATATGCAGCTGTACCCGGGCTGGTCTGCACGGGATAACTATGTAGGTTCCTATGTAGGTGGAAATTTTTTTAGTAGTAGAGCTTGTAGAAATGTGTGTGTAAAAACGACCACACATTGCACACAAGCACTACTTGGAAAGCGTGGCTCAGGATCCCAATCTGGTAACAACAGCGGACGCTTCCCTCTGCAATGCTAAAACTATTGGGGATAATTCATGGCCTCCACTTGGAAGAGGCTTCCTGACTGGGTCTAGTAAAAGGTTAGATTTGGGGCATGACAGTAGAGCTCGGTGAAGAAACTCTTGCCTTCACTTTTACCAGCATCTGGAAATTATTTGGCTTGCTGGTCATTTTAAATTTGTTTAAAAAATGATAAAATTCCTCTAGTTTGGCTTCTCTCCTTTCCACCAAAAATATGCATAATTAGTGTCTTGTGCTTGTCTGTGTGAGAGTATAGTGGAAAGTGGAAGAATGACTTATCCTAGCTTCAGAGAAGGACTGGCAAAACCAAAAGTGTGACTTGTTTGAAAGTCTTACTCTCAAGTGGGGTTAAATGAATTATTCCACGCTCTACTGTTGTATATCTCAATTATGTTCTGCTTTTTCATGGCCATGTTATCTTTTTCTTTTTCCCTTTCTCATTCTAAAAAAAAGGTGTTTGGGAATTTGTGATCAATTCATAGAGTGCATTTTAGATTGATTCCCCATACACCTTGAGAAAGCCTGTTCTACAGCTAGAAGTGGAAGAATTTTGTGCTCTTACAAAGGGCCAGCATTGTAACCACTTGCTAGTAGCATGTAACCCCTTTTTCCACGCCTTCGTGGAAGCGGTACATCTGGTAGTATGTGTTTGCAAGCCTCAACTCCATAAATTCCCGTCAGATTTCTGATTGGTGGGAGCAATAAATCCTCCTTAATAGAATCATAGAAATATCTTGATTATTAAAAAAAAAATAAACTAAAATAAGCAAACACTCCCAGGTTTGGGGAGCAGCATCTTTAAATTTGTGTCAGCTGTGTACAGTGTAAAGCCTTTCATTTTTGTTAAAGTCCGTATCTTCCATCGTCATCATCATCGTCACTGCCGTGAACTATTTTGCCGTAAATCACATAAATTGTGTGCTTTGTATATAGCAGTGTTGACCTGTAAGAGCACTTGCTCTTCCTTAGGCACGGCTGAGGGAGTTTGCAGGAAAGCCTAGCGCAGCAGTCGCTCTCGATGCTCACCCACCATTTCAGCAGTGGCAAATACACATTCCCTCCATTAGCAGGATTTGCCTAAGGAATTTTCTCAGCTCCTTACGTCCTCTCAGCTGTCTTTTCTTCCCATCTTCTTTGTTCCTTGAGGAGGGCTGAGCTGTGAGTGCTCCTCGCAGAGGGCAGCAGGGGCAATCTCCGTACATCCAACGAGACGCTGCTAAACACCGGTTTCCCTTTTCTTTTCTGTGTCGCGTGGCCCGGCACTAGCAGCCCCCAGGCTCGAGGTAGTTCTCGGCACTGTGCAGTATTGTCTTCTTGGGTGTTCGGGAGGAGTAGGCGCTTCACTGAGGTTCCAGGCATGCTCGCTGTGCGCAGTGACTGCGCCGCTGACAGATGGGCATGTACAAAGCCTGCAGTGTTTAGGACCTTTTACTTTTGTCCTCACCGTGTGAGCGCTGAGAAACCCTTTCTTCTCAAGCTAAAAAGGACAGGATGAGAAAGCCGGCGCTTTCCCAGCGGCTTGATGCTGTACCCCCAGGTGACCTTCAGGGGGAACCTTCCTGCCTGAGGAGAGCTCAGTAGCTCTGCATCACACGCTTGCATCATCCGCAGGATTTATTTATTTCACTCTCTTCCACGCAGAACTCTGAGCTTCCCTCCTCCTGTGGCATTTCCGAGGGTCCTGAGCCCTTCGCAGGTCTAGAAGGGGAGCGTGTTTGGGGTGCTGAAAATGTTTAAATTGTGAGATGTTCCACATCAGGGCAGCTGTAGCCCAGGCCTTAAGGAATCCAAAGGGTGCATTCAAGGAATGCAGTTTTCACATGCTTGTGAAAAGGAGGGATTGAGTGAATGCTTTGGGGCTTGCTGGTGTCACAAGGCACTTCCTCTCTTCCAACATAAGACATTGAGCTGAATGCTGGACTGGGACATAGGTGACATGGGACATAACCTCTCCCACCTGTAGTCTAGAAAATGACTACAGAAGGATTCTGCAGCCTTGTCAAAACCCACGCTGGTTTGGCTCTGCCCAAAGAGTAAGCAGATGTTTACATCCACATCTACCTGCAGCCTAAGGATTTGTGTAACATGACAGTGTGTTAGGGACCATCTGCCCCAGTCTGAGGAGGGCAGTCTGGGACAAGGGACAAAAATATGTCTTCTGCAGAGCACTTCAGAAGCTGCTGCCATAATTTTTTCTTAACTCCATGTATTTTTTAGCTACATAATCAAATATCTTCTTATAGCGCAAGAACTGAACAAGCAAGCAAGATTATTTTTCCCCCTACTGCCCTTGCAGAGGATATGTAAGTAGTTGGTGGGATCTTTTTCTGGAAGTCTCAAAGTTGAAGCTGAAAGGAGAGCAGAACATCTGGATCCCTGGCTGGCATTCCCATGTGTCAGACATTTGTAGTAGGTTGCTCCCTAAAGAGGTTATAGTCTTTTAACGCCTGGAAGAGTTTGTGAGGGCAGATGACTCTTGGTTGGTGTTCTGGCCGGCCCTTGTGTGAAGAAGTTACAAGTTCTCAGTTTGGAATAGCTCTTGAATTCCCAAGTACACTGCAAAAAGTAATCAAATTAACCACAAGATGCATTTTGTTGTTTATCAAAGTTTCTTAAGCTTAAATAAAAAGCACGCGTATGGTCCTGAGGCAATTGTTCGATTTCCATCCTGTGTTGAAAAGCTGGGAAAAAAATCAGCAGCTTTTATAAAGTTATTGTCAATTTAGACCAATGTAGATGAAGCACAGTTTGAACCTCTTATATTTTTATGTGGCTCTTGGATACAAAGGTTTTTCCCACATTTTATTCTCCAGGAGCTTCAGGAGCAATGCCTCATTTTCTTTCTTATCATTTCCTGTCACGCTGGACAGATGGCTGGTGTAATGATTGATACTTTACTGAAACAGAGTACTCAGAATGACAACTTATCATATCTCCAAAAAATGATCTCAAGAGATGTCTGAGACAATTTCCCAGTAGCAGCATTCAGGCCACAGGACTATGTGGATGTGCTTTTAAAATTTACTGTGCACACAACTTTTTCAATCAGCAGAAGGCTCTCTTGAACAAGATTGTATTTGTCTCGGCCTGGGAAGCAAGCTTGCAACAAGAAGAAAAGAGTGCAGAAGCCTTGGCCCAGAAAGCTGGTTTGGGGGAGGAAGAACACTAATACACAACAAATCAAAATCAAGCATTCACATTGAGTGAATTCCTTACAAATAAATTCCTAGGAATGTGTCATAGCAGATGGGCCAAACTGAAGCCAAATGTAGACATTTAGTTGGAAGCCAGACCAACTGAGATGGAGATGTCCAAGATACGGGAGAACCTCTTAGACTCCCCTCAGATGTTGCCAGACCTTCAAAAGTGCTTTGAGATTCCTTCATTCAAGACGTGTTTGTTCCCTCTTGACCACGGGGGACTGTTGGTCGTTCTTACACCTTTCCACCAGTTCCTTTTACTACCATGTCTTCAAAAGCAGACATCACTGCACTGTTTACAGTTGACACTGCTGCCCAGAAGATGTTGCTTTTAGTAGTGTAGCTGGAGACCTCTGAAAATGATGACCATATTCCCCTGCATTAGGCCTTCTGCTTTGCTCTGCAAATGCTGTCACTCAGTGCTGGAAGAAGAGTTCTCTTAGATTTTTTTTTTTTTTCTTTTTTGAGCCATGCTCCTCATCATTCCCTTTTCTGCAGAGTTCAGGCTGATCGTCCTGGTCACGTCCTCTCACACAGTGCTGCAGGGAAAGTGGGAAAGGACAGACCCTTATTTCTCCAGCCTCCTTTGTTCTATTTTCCCCTCCGATCAAAAACAATAATAAATTGCATCATCTTGATGGATAGTATTTAGGACAGGGCCATATTGTAGCAAATAATTACTACTGATTTTCTTGGTGATAGAGCAGAATGTGGACAATGTCTTAGTTATAGCACACTTCAATTTTTTTTTATTTTTCTGCTGTGCTTCCCAGATTTAGGGTGCAGCTGCTGGTTAGGGTTCTCTCGGGATTGTGGCTCCCTTGTCTGTTTTAATGGTCCGTTTTGGCAGCTGAGGAACCCTAGGGGCTCATGTCTGACCCATTCACACACACCTTCGTTCAGTCTCCTTGTTCTTCCTTCCTCTCGGAAGAACATGACTACAAATGATTTTTGTCACTTGCAGACGCAGGAGGTTACAAGTGTCAAATATTACTGTGGTCATTCTGAACTTGCCTTGCAATAAGGTCTTCTTTCTGCTCCCACCAAGGGTGCCGATGCCTTTCAGGGTTAGTTCAACAGGGGGGCTGATGTTGGGGCTATGTGAGCAGAAGAAATAGCAGAGCACAGGGTGCACAGGTGGGAAGAGCCCTCCCCAGGACGAGAGCATCCCTGGGGACAGGGATGTGCCACAGGGCTGTCCCAGCACTTGGGTCTTCTCTGGAGGGGTTGGAGGGCAGAGCACTCTCCTGTTGCTCTGTGCTGTCCATCAAAAATAATTCCTTTTCTAACCCTTCTCATTTGTGTCTGTTTCATGCAGGGAAAGAAGAAGAAGAGGAAAAGGGATAAGCAGCCAGGAGAGACCAATGGTAAGTAAAAATGACTATGTTGCGTGGTAGAACCGTGGCGATGCTGATCCTACGTTCCTAGGTACGGGGGAGGTGGGCAGGAGTCTCGTGGCCTCCCTGGGAGCCAGCCCCTGTCGTAGACAGCCTTTATTAATGCACTCTAATTATATACTCATTATTGCCCTCTAAAACTAGTAACCAAACCATTGCATGTAAGAGCCTCTTGTGGCATTAGTTGGATTTGTCCATAATAATTGCCAGGCCTTTAACTGCAGAGCCATAGTCGTAATGCCTATGCCATGGTTTATAAAGTTGTCTGCTTATTTTGCGCGTATGTGTGTGTGGGTGCCCGGGTGTGTATGTAGTTGGTATTAATTTGGGCAGTACCTGTATGTTCTGATGCATGCCTTACAGTGGTAAATCACACCCAATTTAAATTAAGGAGGTTTGCCATTCTATATAGGAAATTAGAAATACTGCATAGGCAATCTCATAGTCAATTTTGAAGAAGCCCTAACTTAATTTTTTTGAAGCCTTTGTGTAATTTGTTCTTTTTTTTCAGAACACAGCGAATGTTTCCTAAATCCTTGCCTTTCACTTCCTCCGATTACAGGTGCTAACGTCATTTTGAGTCATTTAAAATAGTTTATGAACTGCTTTTTAGTTTTTTTTCCTGCCATTATAGATTTTAACATTAAACACTTATGACATTAAGAAAAAATACCATCACCACGTTTTTATAGTATTTATTATCTATTTATCTTTATATCTATATATGTTTGATAGTATTTTTTAATTTGTCTTGTTTTTTGTAACAGTTGCTATTAAAACAGTAATACGGTAAAAATAACGCAAGAGTTGTACTAACTGTGCAAATTGAATATGCAGTATTTCTTTAAAGAGACTGATAAGAATGGAAGCAAGTCAGTAATGAACCTCCTTAATCTAATGGCATTTTTCATGGCTCCCACTAAGTCTTCTCACATTAGCATGCATACGCATTTGTTTTATTTATTATTATTATTTTAGTTTGGAATTTTTGTTTTTGCCTTTCTGCTCAAGCCTATTCATTGCAATTCACCCGCTATACTAACTCAGCACCTTGCCATGCTTTACATTTTATTTTCTGGCTGAAACTAACATGCTCATTCCGCAATCTGCTTATTCTTATCCATTCCTTTAAATATAAATTAATAAAAACAAATAAATTGAATGTTATTCCAAAAGCTGCATTATCCCAGGAGATATAATTTCCTTTTTTGTTGTTTTTCTTTTCTTTTTTTTTTCCTTTTATTTTTGTTTTGTATCTAAGTTGAAGAAAAAAGCATGTTCAGGATCTAACTTCCATACTCAGCTTCTTTTCTTCCTTTTTTTCCCCCTCACAAAAAGCAGAAGAAAAAAACCCAACCCAAATAAATCTTGCCTGAAATGTCCTGCTAGACGAGCCACAAAGACTTTCCTCTATCTGCTCTTTTAAATGGGAAAGAGACAGTCCTTTATAAAGGGATACTGCAGCTTTAATTGCAACAGCTAATCCAAGAGTTGAATAAGAATGTGATTATCACTATTTTTTTTTTACTTTTAAATCGAAAGTCAATATTTTGCAATTAATAACGAGGACATTGATTTTTATTCCCTTTTTTATTTTTATTTTTCCTTATTTTTATCTTTCTCTTTTTTCTCCCCTTCTTTCTTTCTCTCTCTCTCTCTCTCTCCCTCTCCCCCTCTCTTTACTTCTCTCCCCCTTTCCTGCTCGCTTTTCTTGAACTCATTCAGACCTGAGCGCTCCTAAGAAATGCCGAGCGCGCTTTGGCCTTGATCAACAGAATAACTGGTGCGGCCCCTGCAGGTGTGTATAGTTTTCCCAGACTCGCTATGGCTGATTTGCAGCTGGTTTATTTGGTACTTTCCCCTTTTTTTCCTGCCTTGTTGCTTTGTAGCTCTGTATTGTGATCTAGAAGACACAAGGGAGTGGGACACTGCCATGAGTTATCGTCTCTCTCAAAGGGTCTTGCTTTTTTTTGTTGTTGTTTTTTATTTTATTTTATTTTATTTTTGATGTTTTTTTCCTTCCTCTTTGCTGCTGCTAGCCAAAAACCCACTGTAAAACAGCATCAGCCTTAAGCCTATGCGATGCGTGCTTCGAACACAGCCTTGCCCTCTCAGCCTCCCCGCCAGGATCGTCACCTTGTCCCAGTAACGCCCTCGATCCCGGGGCGCTGCGCGCGGGGCCACAGTTTTTTTGGCTCCGGCTCACCGTAAAAGTCCTGTTTCTTTCAGGCCCTTGGTATGAGGGGAGATTACCAAATAAAACGGAGGTGATTAAAAGCTAACCGTAGCTGTAGCTAAGATTACGCAGTCCGAATGAGCACTATCCACCATTGTGTTGTATTTTTTTTTTTGTGTTTACCTTATGCTAACAGATGCAAATACTCCAAAGAAGTGTCGGGCATTGTTCGGGCTTGACCGACAGAGTTTATGGTGCAAACCATGCAGGTATAACCCTATAAACCCACTAGGCTTTTGGGGAAATAAAAGCAATCTGTCCTCTTAGTGCATTTGTGTGATTTTATTTTTTTTTAATCTTTTTCCCCCCCCACCCCACCTTTCTCTCTCCCACAGCACCAATTGCTAATAATCTTTGATCCTTGGAATTTCTCGCTAATTTAATGCCATTTTCTCTCTTTCTTTACCAATAACCTCTCCCTGGTGGTAGAACTGGGAACAAGAAAACTTGAAGTGCTTAAAGCTGGCAGCTGCTCTTTTTTTGAGTTTTTTTTTCCAGATTGTCAGCAAAAATGAATGTTTAGGTGGACATTTTATATTTTGTCTTTTGTGTGGGTCTGTGTCCACTGTCTCCAAAGGTTTAAAAGGTTCTGGGATATGCAGCACTAGCATTTTTATCATGATTATCGATATACAAGCCAGGGTTTACAGCTTATATTGTACTCACTTTTTTGATTTATCTGCAAAATTTAAATAGATGCCTATATGCCAGGATTCTTTGGTAAGGCTTGGGTATGTAGCTGTTATTTTTGAAATGATCTCATGTCTTTTTTTCCAATTCTGAAAAAAAAATCCAAAATTTTATCCCAACAAGTGAGCTGTAAACTCTTGAGCTCTAGACAAAACTAATTGCAACTTTAGTAGGACAGTTTTCAGCATTAAAAGAACATGAAAGACATCAGAGAGGCCAAATTCCGACAGCCCATGTTCTACTGGAGTTTAATTCTGTGTATAACTCAGTATGTACTTCTTTCTTGGTGGAGGGATACCGAGTAGCTCTTTTCTCATTCCTTTTTTCCTTAAATGATCGCGTTTGGTTAAATTTGTTGTTTCTTTGTTCTGATACAAGCAGTCTTTGAATTTGGAATATTATGATGGTAGGTATTTCAACCCAAACCACACTCTGTGTGTAGTGATTCCTCTCCCACATTTTCCCCTGTATTCATGCCAGTCCCATGTGCTTCATCTCATTTAGAATGTAGATCAGATGTTCTTCATATTTTGTGTATGCACGCAGTCTTGTTTGTGCTTAGTATCAAGGAAAACATGAACTGAGGGTGGTATTGTGTGTCAAAATGTGAGATAAGAGAAGGCACTGAAAATGTCTTCAAAATATTGCATATTGTCCCCTATAAGGCATGCTTAGTACGGGGTACTTGGGGATGGAGGTGTTAGATATCGGTATGAGTATATACGTTAAATTTTGAAAGCAGCAATTTCGTAAAGCTAATAAAACAGAATAAAAATTCAGCCTAATAGGGCTGGGTAGCTGCTTTCATTCACTGTTAGGTGTTAGGAGACTCCAATCTCATGCTAACCAAGGACTCTAATGCTCTATTTAATTAGGCTTTATTCTGTGGTTAATGTACTACGCACTATCAGTAGATATTTGTGTAGTCTAGCGATACAGTATTTGAAGCATGTCGAACTCTGTATAGCGAGTATCACAACTGTGGGCGCATTGTGTTTGTGGTGCTTAATCTTCCCCCTAGCTGATTAAGTAAACAGCATACTTTTAAAGCTTCATTTTATGACTAAGGGGACTTTTCACTAAGTCCATACATTTTGTTAGGGCTTAGGTTACATGTGAGACAAACCCTCTCTTAACTTACTCCAGCTTTTGTTTAGAAATCTTTGCTTTTAGAGACTTTATTTTTTGAAACCAGTTTCGGTGTTAGTTTTGAGCCATACAGGACTTTTCAGTGGCATAGCTCATACCTTTAGACTTACTGACATAGGGTGTTTACTTTTTTCCATTTTTTTAATGTGATGAGATGTTTTCTCATTAGACGGTTTAGAGCATCTCTCCCCTAGTTCTGGTCCTAACTATTATTACAGTGCATATGATAACTTGGTAGGTTGTGTAGGGCCTCTTAGGTAGGTGCTAGATTGCCCAGTTTGCTAACACTACGGGAACAGGAGCATCCCTGCTCCCAGCAGCTGGATCAGTGTTTGTCCTTCCTGGACATGCTGTCCTTCAGCAGGTCACTTCTCCTGACTTCTGCCATGCTGATGTAGCAGGTGACAATTTTGGAATGGCACGGGAATGAGTAGCCCTTACAGTGCGCTTGTAGAAGGGTTACATAGAATTTTTAGCTCTGCTTTAACGACAGCAAGACTAAGGCACAAAGAGCTCCTCAGATTTTTAACTTACTCCCTTCACCAGAGGTGCACAACCTCCAGTAAAATTCAGCTTGTAGTGCTTGGTGTATTTTCTCATTTGTGTATTCTGGCCCATCTAATCCTGCCATGAGCACAACCACACATAGCACAGGATGGGAATGGCACAGGCTCAAGAAGAAGTGCCTCCCCTTGAACCATCAACATTTTAGTAAATGGCTTTTCAGACTAAAAGTGGTCAGTGCACTATTAGAGCGTTTGAAACAGAGGAAACATTCTCTTGCCATAGTCCTAGCAAAGAAAAATTAAGATAGCAGAGTGGTGTTTTTATTTTTAAAAGACTATTAGCTCTGCAAGCTCAGAAAGTCTCGTAGTTCCCTGATATCTCAATTTACATCTGTTTTGCCATGGGAAGCTCTTCAGGCCACAGAACTTAAACTAGCATTAATAAGGAAATCAATTGAATTTTTGGCACACTAGATTCAAACTGCCTCCAGTGAAAAATTTAAGTGCCTTGTAGGTTCAGAGCAATCCAGTTGAATGATCTCTGGACCACTGTCAGTGAGGCAGGCAGAACTTGGTTTTCTGCTTGCAAATTACTTTTTTTTTTTTTTTTTTTTTTTTTTTTAATCCTGGGGTCTCCTAGTTATGAAAACCTACCTTCCCATACAAGTATTTTCTGTGAGACTTCTGAAAAGTCATTGTTGTGCTTTGTTCCTGGCTGCTGTACAGAAAGTCTGAACACAAATTGTGGGCCAGGTATCATGGCACAGTTTCAGACACATGGGAAAGGAGAAGGGATGGAAGAAAGAGGAGTGTCATTAGCCTAGTGCCAGAGCCTTCCCATGGATTTTTGGATGTTAGATGAATTAACAGGGTCTGTTTTGAGCCCACCAAGTTATTTTTTTTCTGTCTTTTAACTTTGCTCTAATAAAGCATGGTTTACTGCCTTCACTTGCTGTCTTCTATCTTTCTTTCTTTCTTTTTAACATTTAAGTTGCATGGATGTCTTTAGTTTTTAGCATGTATTGATCTGCAGGCTAACGTGGTTAAAACTCTACTAGCCCTAACTTACCATGGGGAACTTGGGGCAGAACCTCAGGCCCTCTGGAAAAAGGGATGTCACAACAGTGACATCAACCAGGTCCCTCACAGGAGATGGAAAGCTGGAGGGTACCAGGATTTGCTCTTCACTTCTAGCAGAAGGAGACAGTATCTTTTGCCTCCAAGACCAAGCTGCTGAGGTTTGCCTCACAGTGGGGAAGCGTCTAGCTCCATTGCCTAGATGGAGGACTTTGGATTGAACCAAGTGAAATGCAGTTGCCCTATTTATTGGAGAAAAACCCTTGCTAGAAGCTGAGTTAGTGGGAAATTTCACATAGCAACATTCAGGATCTGTGCCAGACTCCGGCATTTCACTTGCTGCCCTCTAACCTGCTCAGCCAGCGTGAGGTGTCCACCATAGAGGGACAGTGGTGTGCTCCTCGCGGAGGTGGTTGTGAGCAGCGTAGCTGGCTCTTCCAAAGATTTGATGGCAGAGCTGCTTTAGGCAGAATTTGTCAAACACTTGTGCTGGGTCATCATTTCCCATGGAAAGCATGTTTGTAAGCAGGAGGGTCGGCAAGCCATCGCTATTAGGGTCACCGTGGCTACTGAACGTCACTGCCAGATGCTGTAGCTGTTTGCCTCATTATTCCTGTCCTGCTACTAGAGTTGTCTTGCATAGCCTTGGCAGGAGAGATGTGCTGGAACTGTCATGTGTTGTTTGTTGCTCCTTTGCATTATTAAGTGGACAGAGGGAGGAGAAGAGATTTCTGTTGGGTCACATATTTGGTTATTTGAAAGCCAATGGCTCCTGTGAGGTTCTCATGTTCCCTGGTGTGAAATAAGTTCCATGTTGCTCTCCATCTTTGTACCTGTCGTCGTGCTCTTCACCTACTGAAATTGGTCCCGCTCTGAAGTTATATGGGTGTCCTCTCAGAGGAAAATCGCCCAAAATGCAGAGAAGCAGTTTCCCAAATCTACCACTCTCCCTTCAAACAAAAAGTAAAACTGAGTCAATTCAAAGCCACAACCTGCAGGCCATACAACCAGTTATTCTTGTTATTTTGGATCATATTCTGTTTATCCTGTTCTTTTCCTGTTTTTTCTTCTGTTTGTTTTGTTTGTTCGCCTTGTTTTTATTTCCCCTCTCTCGTTCTCTCTACTATATCTTCTTCCTGTCTGACTCTGACATCTCTCAATTTGGTGTGGTTCCTAACAGAGGAAAAAGCAATGGGCAGTGGGTTGCAGCCGCCCTTGCCTCCCAAAGGCAATGCATCGTAAAGACCGCAGGTGACGCAGGTGTAGCGATAGCCGCGTTAACGCGGACAGCGTTGTGGGACACCTTGAGATACTGCCAACCTCAGAAACGTCCGTTTGGCCAGGATTACTTTTCTTTTTTTTTTTTTTTTTCCCAAAGGAAAGTCCAGCTCACAGATTAGCGCAGAGGGCTCAACAACCACGTCTCTGCTCTTACAAATACCTTTAAAAGTGATAACCCGAGGAGGCAGCGTGGGAAGGTGGGTGAGGGAGAGGCCATCAGCACATCTTTCCCAGAGCCCTTAGTGGCCGGGAGGCTCCCGCGTGGACGCTGGACCCGCAGCGCCCGGCCCGCCACAGGCGCAGGGGCAGCTTGTTCAGAGCCCAGACTAGTTGATTTATGGCTCTCTGCTTGTAGATAACTTTCTCCATGAGCGTCTCTGCCCTTTATTCACAGATAACTCTCTCCCTGTTTCTAGGAGAAAAAAAAAGTGCGTTCGCTACATACAAGGTGAAGGCAGCTGCGTCAGCCCACCCTCTTCAGATGGAAGCTTACTAGACTCTCCTCCTTCCTCTCCCAACATGCTGTCCTCCCCCCCCAGAGACTCGAAACCACAGACTGAACAAACGCAACCCCTCTCGCTCACGTTGAAGCCCGACCCGCTGGCCCACCTCGTC